AACACGGGATAATATGATTTATCATGTGTGAAGTAGTAGGCACTCCAGGGTACTACACGCTTAATGCTTTCGTATACGGTATTTGCCAGATTCCGTGCGTACTGCAAAAGGGTAGGAAACTGGTCCTTGAAATGACCAACTGCGTGTAGGTTTTCAACCTGAACTGTTAGACAAGAGTACAGATCAATGGCGAAGCTTGGGTTATGTTCTTTAACTAACGCCTCCAGATCTTTCAGTCCATTTAATATCATGTTAACCGAACGCTTTGTCTGATTAGAAATAGTTCCTTGAGAACCGCTTGGTTTACCTGTGCTGGCATTGTTTACATCGTTGCTATGCGACAACGCTTTTTCTGTTGTTGTTTCCAAGTAACTGTCAAGTTCTTCCAGAAGCTCGATTGCTTGTGGTAGGGAACGTTTTGGTACAGTCTGATGTTTCATATTAACAGAAAAGGCTTTATACAGGAGACCAAGATGGCCTAAATACTTTACAATGCCTTTTATTGAGGTAATTAGCTTCACAGAGCCTGTTTGAGCATCGGTGATGAATATGTTCTTATCGTGCTTCACACATATGCCCATAGGCTGCGCAAATGTTGCTTGGTCTCCCTTTCCATTCGAATTGCCCTCCTTTCCTGTGCTTGAAGTAAAATAGCATCGCCCGTGTTTGAAGCTGTATTTTACCTAAAGTATTTAAAATTTACTTGTCTTGAAATATTTCTAAGTTAACTTTGTACTACCATCGTCATCCTGACATAGTCGCCGTATTCTCTTGTTCTTCTTTTAACCTTGATTACTTATTAACCTATAGAAAAGTCGGCCCGTATCTTTCAGAACGGTCCTTGATGTCGTTTAAATAAATTCCTACCTTGTAATGAAGATGTATTTCCTGATAGTAGCGGCCTCTCCTCGTCCCATTGCTCTTGTGTATTTATCGCAAAGGCCTTACTGCCATCTTTTCCCTTTTCAAGACGACAAAATTTAAGTTCAACACAAGAGCCGAGGCCACGTTTCTCAGCCTCTACCTTTGATCCGCAAATTCCGCGAACTTTTTAGTAAACACTGCCAAATATGAATGTTCATCTGTAATTGGAAAGCGAACTCGTTCCTTTCCAAGAAAATTAAGCGAGTCGACAGACTTTGGATCAACGTAAAATACAATACATTCGACCCTCATCGTACTATACGTACTCGTCCCCTCCATGTCTCGGATGTTTCGATGTTTTGGATCACTGTCCTTTGACCTCCAGTGACATAGGAGACCATAGGCATAGGAATAGACCTCTGCTCCATGATGGGCATGTGAAACACGTGAATTTGCACAATGGATTACTTTAATTAAAGCGAAGTCTGTTACTTGTCACATTTGATGTTTTCAGTCTTAAAATAAGTCTTCCGGAGCACTCGCATCTCAAAATCACGCCAAATAGTGGTGAATTCACGAATATCGGTTAATAATTCAAGTTCTTCACGAGTCATGCAAAACCTTCACATCACGGATCACGAAGAATAATTTATTAAATTCACGTTTCACGGAAAATAAAATCAGCCAATCACGCATCACGGGAATACCCCTGTACGACCCTCTTATGATGAGAAGCTTCTTTGCCATTTCCACTATTTTTCAAAGATGAACCGAAAAAAACATGTAAGCGACCCCGCGTCCGATACGTCTTTTATCCTTTAGGAAAAAGCTCAGAAAAACCTTTGAGGGAATGGCACCCACCCCCTCCCCCCCTTTGTACGTCCGAGGGTTAACTTTGTCAACGTGGTGAATTTGCAATTTGATTTCACTTTGAAATGAACGCCTTTGTAATGTGCTGTTGTTTTCGTAAGCTAATAAAGAGATTAGAACTCTTGGAGCCAAGTTACCAGGCAATGAACCATTCGACTTCGTACGTCAGGTAAGAAGTCTGTCGTGATGTCGATTTATGTGGATCTTGATGGGAAGAAAATCTAACTGGAACCCAGACCCTATCAGTAAGTTCATTTCCAATTCTCTGTTTTCTTCTCATTTTTCATTTTCCCATTGTTTCCCCATTCCCTGTGTTTGTTGCACGCTTCCCATTCCACGTTTTTACAACATCCTTGGTATATCCTTGGTAACGATTATAATATTTGCTCCATTAATAATGAAATATGAGGAAAAGGACCTCGATGAAACGGAACCTCATTAAAGGACCTTACAGCAAACATTTCTTGCCAGTCCCTTGGACCTTGTTATATCAAAGTTATAGTTATTTCCACTGTCTTTCTCCAATGTTAAAATGTTCTTCACTTCGTTATAAGTACATACAGGTAAACTTTGTTGTAATTGGCGTCTTAATTTTAATACTGTTACCGCAGCAACGGCTCGATACAACTCAAAACCGCCGGAGGCTCCAGATAAGCCACTTTCAGATGGAATATTAAACAAAACAACCAAAGAAAACATTTTCGGCGGTGGGTAAAACTACAATCATCGTCAAAAACGTTGGCCCCTTGGATCAATGTTGGACAAAAATAAATTGTTTGTGTGAGTAATTCTTCTTACATGTCCCACATTGAATAGCGGAGAAGAAGGGGGGGGGGGGGG